TGCATGATTTATAACTGTATTGATATAAAAACAAATTTGTTTTTCTAATAGGATTTTGGGATTTTTATTCGTTTTATTTCATAATTTGGTTGTAATTGAAAATATTGCAGACTTATAAATTCCCACTGTCATCCGTCCGTGTGTCTGTCTTTCCTTAATCTCGAGAGTTAGATAGATGAAATCTTAGACCAGATATGGAAACTTTAGGGTCAGGAAGCCTAAAGTTTCCATATTTGGAATCCATATCTAATTACATGCGAACTTCGGATACAAACCGAGTCACTTCAATTCAAAAATTTTCCCCTGAAAAATGTTAGATAGATGACCGGCACGACTCCAGTGTTAAAGGAAAAGTATGATGTACAGGGGCAAGATACTACAGTACTAATTTGAGGTGGAGAGCATATATTTTAAATTAAATTTTAAAAAATATGATTAAAAATTGCAGCCCGACATTGTGACGATGTCGCAATAAATAATTGCTCGTTTTTATATAAAAATCATCGTTTAATACGCGGTTAAATTCTAAAAATTTAATAGAAAGGTGCTAAAATTTAAAGATTTTAATATATTTTACTTAGATAAATAAATATATATATATTATTTCAGTTGCATTTCTTTTTTTTAAATATAAGCAATATTTTAAGCGTATTTTAATCTTTTACTGCATAAAGTTTATGGTAAAAAGTCGAAATGAACCAAAAATATCTAGATAAAAGAATTACAATGTGTAAATAATAAATAGAAAAAAAACTAGAATATTAGCCTATAAAATATTTTCTTCTGTTCATTTTAAAACTTTGTAGAATTTTAATATGTTTAAAATATTCTATCTTCAATTTTATTCTTCCTTAAATTCTCTATTAGAATTTTATATCGTAAATTTTTATATTACATGAAACTTTCTAAACAAATTTTCTATACTTTCCTGCATCAAAGAACTTATTCGATTAAAAAAATATATACATACAAGTTGAAGAATGTTATATAATAAAATATAAATTTATTTCTAATTTAATTTTGATTAATTTAAAAAATATAAGAAAGAATTTTTCAGGAATATTTATTCAATTTTCCAAACTAAATTCATTTTAAGGTGTAGGAAATTTTATTAATACAGAAATTGTTGTTTATATATCCTAGTAAACAAAAATATATATCTAGATGCACTGTACATTTCTACAAATGAATTTAAGAGATAGTAAATCTGATGCAAATGTTCATATATATCTTCGACAATATATTGTCTACTTTTCCAACAAATTTATAGCATCAAGCATGAAATAATGTTCATATTTTGTGAAACTACAATGAATATTTAATGTTAACTCTCTTAAAAAGAAAGAAAAATTCCCGTTTTAGATACATTGTTAAGATTTACTGCATATCGTGAACTATTTCTGTAATAATATCTGTTCAGAGGAATGAGACGAGACGAAAATTCTTTCTCCTGTAATATAAAGGTATAATAATTAAATTCCTTGCTTTAAAAAAAAGCTTTCTGAAAACTAATTAATTAATTTTAACCCTGTAAATTATTCTTTTTGACGTAATTTTAAACTTAAAATTCATTTTTTTTCTTCATTTATTTTTAAATAGGATGTTCAAATTCCATGCAATGTTTTTATGATATTTAATATGTTTGAAAGGAGAAAAAACTACAAGATAATAACTATAAATTTAAAAATTTGTATGCAATTCCGTGAGGGAATAATATAAAAAAACATAATCTTTTTAATTTTTTTAACTTGATGTATGAGTATTTATCATAATTTTATAGCGATTTTTAAGATTCAATTCATAAATGCATAATGAACAGTTTTACCATGTATAAAATAAATAAAAATGTTATATTTAAATGTACAGTACAGTACGTAGAGTTAGATATAAGAACAAACTGTAACGGGCTTACACACAGACATACTACGTACTGTACTGTACAGTACAGTACATGTTTGTGGTTGTCATAGAGTCTACCAGTTGGATTTACAAAGCCAAAATTTCTTTTAGATTGAATCACATATATAAAGTTAGAGTTTAATAATTTAAAAAAAAAATCTAAAATAAAGATAGGAAGGATAACAGGCGTTAAGTTATACGTGCTTAATCAACTACAAAAAACTAATTTAAGTAAGTTATATAAGAATGTTTAGAAAAATTCTGAAAAGTTGAATAATCCTTATAAATTTCGCATTACTTAATGTTCCTCAGCAATATCTAACATCAGCTATTTTCAGACTTTTGTCTTTTCAGTTCGGTAAAATTCCATAAGATGCAGTTGTTGAGGCGTAAAGTTTCCGCACCAGGGAACGTCTTTTCTCCTTTCGCTTCATTGCAATGTTAATTTAGCGAATTAAAATGCTAATTGTTGCAGTAATTAGGAAAAGACTGCCAAGTAAACAGGGACCGAAACAGTAAAAGATATAAGTGAATTCTTACTTCTTAAAAATCAATGATTTCTAAGGGAATTCGAACTTGGATCACTCGCTCACACCTTCACTAAAATTGTCATCTGGTAAAAGCTTTAAGTGTTAAGTAATTTAAATTTATCTGGAATTTCAATGAAAACTTGAGAAGATCGATCAATGAGAAAGAGCCACTTATCGAATAATTCCAGACATTGTGCTATCTTCACAAACAATTTCAAGAGACAGATTCAAAACTTCTCTGCCACCTTAACTCAAAGACACAACACGAATTTTAAACGCGATTGAACGGCATGTTAAGGGGACAAAAAATCGATATTAACAGACAAATTTTTGAGGATTGAATAATACATCACCAAGCAATGTCATTTCTATATATATATATAAATTTTCTTTCTCCTTTTTTCTCTTTCTTCGACCGAAGACATACCGAAAAAATGGTAATTTTAAAATGAAACATTTTTCGAATTATAACGAAAAATTTGATAGAATTTTTGTATAGAATAATGGCTGTAGTTATAAGTCTAAAAGAGATATTTCAAACAACCGTTTAAAGTTATTTTGATTGTAAAGCTTTGTATTTGGAGAAACCTTTTGAATAAAAATATTTTTATACTAAATTTGGTTATTTCTAAAATTCTGAATACATTAAAAACTTTTTAATATTTAAAATTCATTTTTTCTTCAAAAAAAAAGTAAACACATTTTTACATTTTTCTCGATAAAAACTCGGTTTTTCTTTCATAAATATATTTAAAAATTAATATTGACCAATCAATAACAGTTACAAAACACATTATTATTACGTCGAAACGGTTTGCTTTGTTTGGTTCTTTTCAATTCTCGAATCGACCAATAGCGTCGTTTTATCCTGATTAATTATTAACCAATCAACTTTTATTAATGTATATTTGTTTAAAATAAGCTTTCATTGGCCATCGATCTTTTTAAGTATAAAAAATTAACCAATAATACAAAAATATTGAATATTTAATCGAAATTCAACAGAAATTTTATTCAAAATTTATATCTTTTTTTAATAATAAAATTTTTTCCTTGAATATTATAAAAAATGTATAAGTTAAATTTAAATTCTGATAAAATGTGGGAAAAGGGGAACTTTGTTTTATGCAATTTAGATTCAGAAATAAGTCTTAAGGGTACAAAGATTTCCCATTATTGTAATCACAGCAGAAAATTTAGCTCATATTCCATCTTTTAAGATAGACCACTCTATCTTGTTGAGATTCTTTTATAACCTAAAGCAAGAAGAATTCTTTTCAAGGTAATATGTGCTGGTTGAGCGCTTACAATTGGATTTCAAAGATGGTGCTTAAAGTCTGCCAATATCACGATATCTGGAACAATATAGCATAACAATATCAAAGAACTGACTTCTTATAGCATTATAGATCTGTTTCTGCCAATTTTAGATTGGACTGATACACTTTCTATCAGTAAGTTGAAGATATTGGAAAATGTGGAGAATTTTAAGTTTCAAATTTCTTTCCTTTTTTTAGAATTTTTCATTTTAGAATAATTTATGATAAAATATAGAATAAATTCTCTTCATTAACTATTTTCGAATTTTATAAAATGCCAGTTTGTCATGTTCCTAAATATTTCATTACGACTTTTTGGTGATTAAAAGTTTTTAATAAGTTTATATTTTAATGAAATTATATATATATTTCAAGTTATACTGATATTGATCTCGTTGTTCAACATCAATTTTGATCAGTAAGATCAACATCAAAATTCAATCAGGGAAAAACTAATATTCTTTAAGTTTATAAACTTTAAGTGTAGAATAAATTGTGATAATATAAAGTATCAAAAAAGTTATGTTTTTCACTAAGTGTAAAGTATTAAAATTTTCTGTTCTTTTGAAGATAAATTTCTTTGTATAAAATTTCTATATGTATTTATGTTTTTTTGAAGATCTGAAGCAAATTTTCTCTGTACAAAATTATAATTATTTATTAAAATTAGGTATGATTTCGGAGGATGTTGCGCTCGTTTTTGCAAGAGACAAAAATAATTTAAATACAATGAAACTGTTTTTAGTTTGTATAACGATTCATAGAGTAAATATGTTTAAAACATGACTCAAAATAATTTTCTACAGAAAATAACACCTAATCTTTCATACATAAACGTGTGCGTGTTTGAGAATTTTGAAATTTTCAATCCTTACACGGTTAGTTTATGAATATTTCATTATGTTCTCTTAAACTAAATTTATAATGTTAGATAATTGGTTATTTAGCATAATTATTCTGAAAATTTGAAAGAGGGGAAAAGGAGAAAATTGCTGTTATTTTCCCAAACTGCTCAGAAAATCGTTTAAAATAACACTTGCACTCACCTGCAATCCTGAATGTATTCTATGTGACGTTAGATACTGAAAGACCATCTCAGCGTGTTGTGGATAAAGAAATATAGCTAAGCCTGAAGTCTATAAACATCCCCTGATGGTTGAGTGCTACGTTTATTGTGGAAAACCATAAAAGTGTTTGATGGAAAAAGAACTAGCGGAAAGTACACTCGACTGTAGATACTCACCTCTGAGAATAAAAGTTACAAAGTCTTTAATACAATTAAGTACACATTACAAATTCTTTAATACAATTAAGTTCAACATTCTTGAAATACTTACATCTCTTGAATGATATTTTCTACACTAAAAAAACACTGATTGTCCTTTTTTATAACTATTATATATATATATTGACATTTCAGATATACATAAAAAAGGAAGAAGACAAATTGTCTTATGTCTACATGAAAGGTCCAGTTTTAATACTTTTTATTTATCACAGTTCGGTGACTGGAGTCATCTTTAGCGATTGTTGTGCAGCTTGTAATATTGTGCTTTCTTCTTCGCTGTTTGTCTTTTGATAGTGAGGTTCCTTTCTGTTTCCACTCCATCTATCTTTCAGCATTCCAGCTAATTTTGTCCGGTATTTAAACCCTAACGTTACCAGAACAGCAATTATCACAGCTGCAGAAACTGTAACACAGATGAACACTTGTCTTTTACCATTTAGACTGTCACACCCTAACTCTTCGTTAGAAAGATTTACAAGTCGACGATTGGCAACTAATTGGGGGGAAGAACATACCACGTTATCGGTGGAATTATAAGATTTGAGTAGGTTTTTCATCCACAAAATATTACAATCACACCTTATAGGGTTACCGGATAAGTTCATATTATCTAATTCGTCCCAACTTAAGAGACGAGAGTCGAAAGTTTCGAATGCATTACCACGTAAAGATACATTTCGAATGTTTGCCAATCCGTTGAATGCACCAAATTCAATTTTTGTCAATTTTCTATTATGATCAAATCCTATGTACTCCAAATCTGCATTATCCTCGAACGATTTCTCACGAATAATTTTTAAATTAACACAACCAGTGACGATGATTTTTCTTAATCGCTTAAGACCTCGAAAAGCTCTTGGTGGTATTTCGTTAAATAAGTTTTGACTTAGAATTAATTTTTCTAAATTAATAATATATTTAAATGAATTCGTCGGAACGTCGACCAGTTTATTATCTCCTAAATTTAGTGTGAGCAGGTTGGAGAGATTACGGAATACTGCAGAATTCAATTTTTTCAAAGCGCATCCGTCCAGGTAAAGGTCTTTCAGGTTGGACAATGAAGAAAATGAATCATTAACGAGTTCTTTGTCGATAGGATTTAAACCAATATCTAAAGATAGGAGGTTCGGAATGTGGTGAAAAGATAACGAAGGTATGGCTGAAAGTTTATTACCTCTTAATAATAGAGATTTTAAATTATTTAACCCGTAGAAAGCATCAACATCAACATAACTAATACGATTTCGTGACAAATCAAGATATTCTAGGCTTTTTAATGGTGAAAATTTCATGGACGATATATCTTCTAAATGATTTTCGTTTAAATGTAATATCTTTAATCGCACTAAACCCACGAATGTTCGGTTATTGAAAGAAGTTATCATATTATGACTAATCAATAATGTTTCTAAATAACTATGACGAGTAAATTGCTCTGATTTTAAATCTGTAATTTCGTTGTGGGATATATCCAAGTAAGATAAATTACGATAGCTATTATAGATGGAATCGATGCCTGTTATCTGGTTATTAGTCACTCTTAGCCATCTTAATCCGGGATTAAAATATATTGGGATAGTCTGTAATTGTGCAGAATCGCAATTTACTTTAAGGTTAATTTCGTCACACTCGCAATTACGACATCTCGTTCGCGGGCCACATTCTGCCTCCGACCATAAACAAATGAAGTAAAATAGCAGCACTATGATACTCGGCGATCCTTTTAAACGACGCATTTCCTCCCCTCTCTACTGTAAACGATCATATCTGCAAGAAAAAAGAACATTATTATTAATAACCTAAACATCGAAATTTATTAAAATTTCAAAAACCTAATAAAAACTGTTTAATAAAGTAAGTTAATCTCTCGTGTATCGTGCATCAACCGAGAGAAGAAGACAGCATACATTATGGCAATTTAGTTAAATTCCGAAGAAAAATAATGCAATTTTTAGAGCTTAAAATTTAAGAAAACGGCTAAAAGCTGTTTTATAAATATTAGATTTTTTCTTTTCTCTTTACTTTAAGGCTATTTGAGGATTAGAAGTTAACTCATTTTAGAACTATTACTGTAACCATCAAGAGTAAGATAGATGAATCGATTCTATCTCTAAATAATGATCAAGGAAATGTTAGCAACTAAAATAAGATTAAAGATATCGTTAATTTATTTTGATAAAATAACCTTGCTTCGTATGTAATTCGTTTTAATTTTCTCCCTTCCGTTGAATATTAAGATATTAGAATACGGCTCTTTGGTCTAAGATAAACTGGACATTAAAATGTAATTTACTGTTTATCCTATGAACAAAGCGAATTAAATCATCATATGCCAAGCTTCTATCAAACAAATATCCCCTACTCTGATGAAATTCTGTAGATATCCAGGATTTAAATTAATTGATTTTATAAAGTTTTAACAATGTAAACAGTCATTTTAAGCAGAAAACAGTAAATCATTTCTTGTTTACATTTTTATATTTGGCATTATATTTAGCATTAAATTAATCTTTTCTTAAACAAAAATAATTAAAAATTATATTTAAAATAATCGAAATAAAAATTTAATATTCTTTAAAAAATGCTAAGCATATATTTCACGTTTAAAACTTGCATCGTAAAAGACTAATAAAAAAGTATTTTATTTGTTTAATAGTAGCAATTTTAGAGGTAAAACGATAGAATATTTTACTTTAACAGCTAAACAATTATGCTATATATTTTTTAATTATAGAAAAAAAAGTTTAAATGAAAAGATATTAAGCACGCAACTAATATACACAGAATTCATTTCTTTAATTTTTCTTTATATAATTCTTAGTAAGAGAATATGAAAAAGAGAAAGACGTCCGTTTCTAGATTACCGTCTGGAAACACAGTTACACAGTGTGCAGTTAATAGCTGCAAGAAGAATATTATATCCGAGCGACTCTTGCAATGTGACGTTTAATTATGCCAGGTTGGTACAGGCTCGGGACAAATTGGCCTAGCGAAACAATGCATTAGACCCCATAAATAAAATTTACAACCCTTTAGACTGTATTGCGTTATTACAGACTTAGAAGATGACGTCAGCATCGTCAGTAGAGCCGTTAGCAAGTAATTTACTGCCTCTTGCAATTAGCTAGAGAGTCCGTGAAGTGCAGATGAGAGATGGTGATGGATATGAATCGAAAAAAAATGATTAAACTCAATTTTCGATTTGAAAGTTTCCTAAAAAGGTAAGAAAAAATTAATAATAATAATCCTTCAAGGTTTCTGAGAATAATAGCTATTGCAACGTTGGTAAAAAATGTAATTAAAACCTGATTAATTTCTTTCCTATTAATTTAATCCCCACTATTGACACCAGATTCGTTTCTACGCGATCACCATTTGGTGTTACAGCATTCTGCACGGCGTCATCCTCTTTAATTAAACACCAACATTGAATAGAAGGACAGATAAGAGTATACAAGCATCGCAAATGACTGCTTATCGACACGGCAACCAATGCGGTAGAATAAGGAAAACGAGGCATTATTGTCCAAAACTTGGGTTGCTTTTAATTACGTTGGATCTTTCTCTTCTTTTCCAGCATCAATCACGCGTCTTACAGGGCGATTGCGGAGAACAATCAATGAAAGACACGTTTCAGAATAGTGGATCAATTGAAAATCTCTTCAATCCTTACGCTTCGGATTTATTAGCAATTTGTTCCATTATACCGCATTTCCAATGAGATTGGTAGAATAATTTCATACATTCTACTTATCAGTTCACTTTAATAAATGCATTAATCTAGCAATTCATAAGCTTTCATTGTTGTTACCGTAGACATTAATTCACAGAAATGAAAAAAAATCGTATTGAATTTCAAGAATGAGTTCAAAATTAACAGCAATTTTAAAAACACCTTAAATTATTGGACTTATAATTTGGAATTTCTTCCATTTTATCACACTTTAATTGGCAACGGATGAATAATAACGTTAGTTTTTCTGTAATCAGATATAAGTTATTAATAAAACATTAATCAAACAGAGTTATCACGTTTATATTATGGAAAATTTCTATTTTAATTTAAAGGACTGATCACTTTTAGTAGATTCCAATATTGAGCGAAAGAAAGGATTATCGAAAGATTTAATATTATTACATATTTTACAATTTTATTCACTTTAATGAAGTAGGATTATGTAAAAGAAAGTTATAAATTTTTAAGTATAAATAATAATATTAATATACAGTCGAACCTGTAACAACGGCCATTTTTTTCAGAAACTTATCCTTTCAAAATGTTACAAAAGAACCTCCAAACAAAGACCATTTTTTATGTTCCCGTCATCGGCCGTTGTTCAGAGGTTTGACAGTGTATGAAAAGATTTAAGCTTATTTTTGGTCAAATTACTGGAGAGTTATTGAAGAACTTTGGAACATTAAAAGAGAAAATTTCATGGAAATTTTTGGAAATGTCTGATTTGAAATGTGTTTCTTTTAGATTGAGAATATAAATACGGTGTATAAGTTTTAAACACAGACTTTAATGAAACTCTGAAAATAATTAAATATAAATAGTTTTAAAAATCTGCGAAATAATATTTTTATTATAAAAATAAAACAAATAAAACTTTCTATCAAAATTTATCTGAAATTTCTAAAAATTTCAAAATTCCTTAATACTATTTTTAAGTTTCCTTAATTTGATTTCGCAAATATTCTTAAGTCTTTTTCCTTAATAGTTACGATAGTAATTCTATTGTAGCTATAAAGAAATAAGATAGAAAAAAAAGTATAATTCTTCTGCTGTCAGCTGAATAAAAATTGTAATTAATTTCTGTACTTGTTAATGACTTTCCCACTATAACAGAATTCCAGTGGGACTGTAAAATTGCTCATATTCTCCTTATCAAGCAGCTCTTAAAGATCTGTTCTAGCAAATATCTTTTTATTACTAGCATCAAATCCATTCCAACACGAAGAAAGTAATTAATGAAAAAAATAGCATTCTGCTTTTGATAATGATATAAAAGTCATTGAAAATTTTCAGATTTATTATTCCATTACATCAAATCTCCAATGAAATTATGAAAATAGTTTATACTTTCCGAATATTCTTATTGGGTTGTTTAATGATAAAGAGTAAACTAAGCGATATTTCAAAGATGATATCTTTGATAAGAATCAGTTTTCTTTTATTCAATAAACTTAAAATATTCAGCTTAATATATTGATAACACGATATAGAAACCTTCTGGCTATTGCATACTTATAAAGAATAAAAATAAGATTTAAATTTTTATTTATAAAAGTCTTACTCTACTTTCGGCACTTCGATTTTTTTTTATGTTTTAAGATGTAATTTGATTTATTTTTTTAACGATTTAAGCATATAAAATAATGGAACGAAGCGATTAGATAATTCAATCATGTTTTTGTAACGTGGGAAAAGGAATTTTTTTTAATGTTTATCTACGGCATTAATAGTTTTTATCCGGATAAATTTCTCCATTGATGGATGTCTCCATTCTCGAGAACATTTTCCGCTTTTCTTCAATCTGACCAATTACGGCTAAATTTCCACTTCTCTTTAACTAGATGTCTTTCTTAACTATCGGATCTCCAATGTCCATCAATCGTCTTCGTCTTAACCATTAACCTCCTACAAGCCGAAAAAGGAACTTTAACACACAAAAATCGTTAAAGTACCCGATTTTCAACGGAAAAAAAAATTCCAATTCTTCTCAAAACAGTTAAGTAAATGAAGAAAAAACTAAAACTTCGAAAATTTTTACACCATTAATCATAGAAAAGAATTCCACAGTTGTTTAGTTGTAGAAGCAGAAATAAGAGCTCGTAAATGTTAATTTTCTTATTATGACATTATTTTTAAATAATAAAAATCTGCGTAAAGCATACAAAGGCCATTAGCCTAAAGAAAAATATCTATTAAGTCGGCGACGCTTTTATTATTTGGTGATGTGTTACAATTCAATTTATTGTTGGTTTTAATAGTATCAAAGAGTACGTTTTTACTATGTCTCTCAAGCATTAGAACCAAAATCATGTCGTAAAACTCTGGTCCGTCATAGTAATGTCCGAGCAGGTGAATGGATGGAATGGGCTTTCTTATCGATTTTGAATGGTTCTAGTCACCGATGGCAACGTTCCATTACTATGATTAAAGCGTCTTTCATCCCCCTAGACCCTCCATTGTCTTCGACGATTACGTTCGAAGGTGAGACAGGAAGATATGACAGGATACAACTTATTTTCTACTGATTCGATGTGAAAGATTGAAGAAAAAAAACATTCCACCAAGAAGGCATCTCTATCATATAAGATATATATATATATTCGGTTAAACTATAGTCTACATTACTGTATCAAAAAATGAATATTAAATAAAATTATTTTTCACTATTTTAACCATAAGAACAGCATTAAATAGCTAATAAAAAACACGATAAAAATACATATTTTTAATGGTGTTTAGTATTTAAATTTCTCAACAGATGGCAGGATGCGTTGCCTCAAAATATAATGGGGTTTTTTTCCTATATTGCATTTTTGTTTTATCGTTCTTGTAATTAAAGGAAAAAATATTTTCCTCATAAAAATCTTCTTAATGAATTGCTTAGGTCAAACCATTAATTTATCGATCTTTAGGAGAATTAAAATTTATCGCTAGTGACGACGGCTCTCTTGAGTATGAGTCAACATTAAATATGCTCATATTAGATTCAGTAAATGATGCCCTAAACAATAACCTTAATTAGTAAATCTTC